TTCAGATAGAAGGATAAGACGTATATGCATTTGCTACAAAATTTGTCACAATAGCTGTCCATACCTAAGGCAAGCCCAATTCGGACGAAACCGACCTTTTAGAGGTAACTGATGAATGAATCAAATGTAAACAGCCATAGATAAAGATCAAAGTATAAAATCCGACAATATCAGACACTACAATCATTTTACATGCACCAACGACCCACATGGTGTACCGGAGGACAACGCGATGCTTTTTCTCTGTGCTACTCTCCACTGCGCCAGCTTCACGAGCTCTAAACAAACAAGGCCGGCGACTGCCGCAGTGGTAGTGGCGACCGCGGGAGTGATACGTCCGGCAATACGGCGTACTTCGAACCGTGGAGTCCAGGCAAGACTGTACATGGCGGAGCGCAAGTTCTATATTCGGATCAACAAGGAGGAAGAGAAAGATACCAGAACGAAATGGTATAAAAGTAAGGTTAACAAGCGGTAAGGAGTAAAGGAGGTGAGGAAATCTGATAAAGACCGAATAATAAGGATCTGAGGTATTGAGCGTGAAGGTGATGCGAAATAAGGTCTAGGGAAAAGTTTTAAATGAAAAGTATTGCAAAGAATAAACTCCAACGGAGTGTAAAATTCTAGGCTAATCGTCGGGCCAGCTTCAATTGAAGCAAAATAATCAAGAAACAAGTTATAAAGTCCGAAACATAGTACCATACCTGAAGGCTCGGATTCTTGCCCCTTGACTTATTTCAATACACTTGACTATTTTAGCAATCACTTTCATGAAAATAACGATGGCAAATACTTATATAAGTTATCCTTTAAGTGACACATCAGTTACCAATTATGATTTATCAGATAATTGACCAGAATTTACCTGCAAGAGGGAAGTTTTGGGAGCATAGCTTTAAATAAAAGATTAGAAAAATTATAAAATTTCTTTTTAAATTGACCTTGCTTGATAATAAGGCATTAAAGACCCACTTAAGATAACAAAAACAAAGCAATAATACATACTTAAATAACTTATTGCCACAAAAGTTGGATAAGACTAAGGCCGGTAACCAAGATCACTTAGGAAAACTATCAATAAACCAAAGCAAAAAAATTTTAAGAATATTAATTTATCCAATAGCTGTCCACTTATTCACTAAACTGGACACGACAGTCTCTTCAGCGATCTCCCCCGGTTCATTCACAATGCAATCCGATTTCCGAAGAGTAGAAACCATATATAATTGTTAGGTTAGTAAGCCAAGAGCAACACTGTAAGTCAAAAATGACTTAAAATGAGCGATTGTACACAATCGCTCTCAGCAACGGTGGTTAAACTTGTGATAAACCCAAGTTCATTCGATTTGAAAGGGACTTGTAGCATGTAGGTATGAGTCGTGTGGGGATTAAAAGCATGAATATTATTAATAATCTATTATTGTATGAATAATTGTAGGCATTTTTTTAATAAATTGATGCGTACGAAAGCCAACTTAAAGCAAGCCAGCACACAACAGAGAAAGTTATTAAAGTTAATAGGCCTAGCAAGGAAGGAAAACTTTATACACCAGGTAAGCTAAAATAACTTGCGTGCAACCATAATACGAAATGAAAGATCCAATAGCACACTCTTCTTGATTCGAGGTTGTTATAAAGTGGCGTCCAACTTTGATGAGATCCGCCAAGTGATATAAAGAAAGTAAAATCAACCATTTTTACCGGGAATGAAAGAGGGTGTCACGAGAAATATGTGAACCTAAATGTGTGGTGAAGGAAACTACAAAACGCCGAAAATAATTTAATGTCGTCTTATGGTGAGATCGATCTACAAAGCTCTTCATCATAATCCCAAACCAAATAAAAGCCAGCTCAACAATATCTTATAATAACATTGAAGAGGAGCCTTGCCAAAAAGATGATTATAGTAAAGGGGGTGAGAATGTAGTGAGTCTTCCAAATCTTTTCTCATTACATCAATTAACAACGTTACCAGACATCTCGTATTGCATAGACCACTTTCTAATGCCACACAAGGATAGCCTTTGCTTTGATTTATTCACCTTGAAATGAGCACATGAGCTTTACCATTGAAAGCAATTAAACCTACTTCTACAGAAAATACTCAAGCTTGACGAATATCTCCGGTCCTCTACGCTCTGATTTCGTATGTACATCATTCAATAGAATTGGATATGCATGCCCTATATAATTTGGTCTCCTTTCTCCGATCAGGTTGGGTATCCGTAAATTATAACACAGAAAGAGAAGCATATGAAATCAAATGAAAAAAGGAGAATACTTAGGTCAGGCAATAACAGAATGAAGACTAAAAAGAAACTAGTAATAACACTGTGTAGGCAGTGTTAAATGGTCCGCACTATTGGTATGTGGAAAAGTGAGGTTTGAAGAATCCCTTAATATGTCCATGTTGGAGTACCTTTCGTTACGTTTGAGAAGGCGGGTGGAAAGGATTCGTAAGTTGGTCCCACCGGAGGCCTTGGGGGGATTGCCTTTGAGCTGTGGTTGTAGATTTGAGCAAATAAGTCCTCGGCGCATCGCCCTTCGACCCCAATGAATCCGTGCCGAGTTTTCGTCTGCTATGTGACAGACTTAACTTATGAGCAAACATATAGGCAAAACATAGGACATCCAACCAAGTGAACCAAAATGGACTATAGCAATGAAGTAGGTTTGAAGTTGGCGACCTTTATCTCCTTCGTGTTTACAGCGAATTATCGTTAGCCATGGTGTCCTGCTCTGACGATGCCCGTCATATGACGGACAAAAGCTCAGCAAGGATTCATCGGGGTCGCAGGGCGGTGTCGAGGACCTATTCGCACAGATATACAACCATAGCTCCAAGGCAACCCCCCAGCCCCTGGTGGAAACAACTTACAAATCCCTCCCACTCGCATCTTCAAACGAAATGAAAGGCACTTCAACATCGATACGCACTATTATCCGTCGAATTGGTGCATTCGTTGAGACTCACTAGATCTACTCCCAAATACCTAGCAAAACGCCCAGCGCTTCGGATACCAGTCCTTTTAGGTTTGCACCAGACCCCTAGGATCAGAACTAAAAGCATCGATGATTAAAGGTGAATGTAGCACTTTACAAGAACTTTTCACAAAATTAATATTCAGTGTAAGACGGTTTCAACACTATCAACAGATCTTTTCAACAGGAATAGTATTCATACTGGT